ACACACACACACACACACAGAGTCTGGAAGTCATTTGGGAAGGATATTTAAATCACAGTTTTACTGTTTATGGGCTCACCTATTTTATACACAGAATAAACTATTTTTGTTGGTTGGTTTTTCTTAATTGAATACCTAATTGCTAATTCTCTTCTATTATTTCAGATTTGATGGGAATTTCAATACTAATGTATCCAGAACAATTAGTTGTGATCGACTTTCTACTACAGTTAATAGCAGAGCCTTCAATCCAGGACGAGACTTAAATTCAGGTCAGTAATCAGTTGGTTTTGTAAAGATGAACTATGTTCTACCATGTTCAAGTTGTATAAATATATTGCTTCAAACAATTTTCTTTAAGTTTGTAGGAAAAATATTATCTACTTAAAAGTGGATATTTCTTACTGGAAAGTTAACATGCAAAAAAGGGAAAGGAAGAAAAAAACCAAGCTGCCATGTATTTAGCCTCTGCTTTGTAGCTATTTATGGAACACATACATGGCACATGCCAGGCACCTTGCTAGGCTCTTTAATCCATTGTCTCACTCGTTAATGCGTTTTTCCATAGTTGTTTTAAAGACCGGGGTATCTTTGCAGTAAGATATTGAATTTCATTTGCATTCCCTATTTATAATTTCTAACCTATTTGGGGGTTTTTCAGAAGAACAATGTGTGAGCTTTTCTATTAATAACTTAGTGTAAGTCCGAGCTGGGCTTTCTTCCTGGCCCTGTTGTTAACAGCGATGAGGCACCTGTGTTTATCCAGCCACTTACAGCTCAGAGCAACAGGCGTCTCTGCTTCCTTGCTTCAGGACCCACTCTATGTTTCTTCCCTTTTTTGTAACGTTGATTGATGAGCCTGAGAACCAAGAGGTGAAAGAACTTTAGAAATCACACCATCCTCAATCTCCAGATTTTACCAGGAAAGAATCTAAGGCTCAGGACACACCTAAGATGTCCCTTATCCCTGGAACAAGAAGGATCCTTAAGCATAAAGAACTGTGTCTTCCAAATCCCAGGTTTCTGATAGATGTGTAAAACCTAAGAAAAAAAGCCAGAAGACCAGATTATTCACTGTCAGGATCCCATTCAGTCTCAGTTTGGGGGAGAAACTGTAGTCCTTGGGAATTGTAAACACAAAGGTCTGGAAGGAGCAAGCTATGAGTTTTATGTTTCTTCTTTTTTGAGATAGAGTCTCACTCTGTATCCCTGGGTAGAGTGCTGCAGCATCATAGCTCACAACAACCTCAAACTCCTGGGTTCAAGTGATCCTTCTGCTTCAACCTCCTGAGCAGCTAGGACTATAGGTGTCCACCACAATGCCTGGCTAGTTTTTCCTATTTTTAGTAGAGACAGGATCTGCTCTTGCTCTGGCTGGTCTCAAACTCCTGAGCCCAAGTGATCTACCCGCCTCAGCCTCCCAGAGTGCTGGGATTATAGGCTGAGCCACTGTACCCAGCCAGAATTTTGTGTTTCTTAGACATAACACAAACTATAGCTGTTAGATAAATGGTCCAACTTAAATTTGCCAGGTATTGCTGTCTGGGCTAATATAGAATGGATTTGGGTATTTTTTTATTGGTCAGGTAATTTGGAAGCCTCTGGAGCAGGAGTGGGTTACTGCTAGAAAAGAGGCAAATGGGAATATTTTTTATTTAAAAAATGGCAGAAAAAAATAGATGAGGGCATGGAATGGGCAGAGGAAATCAGCTGTGGAATATCCCTCAGCTGGCACAGGGCCCAAGCTGGAACTAGACTGTCTGGGTTCCAAATTTAGTTATTTCCCTTAAAAAATGCTCAGTAACACAAGAGATGTTGCTAGGTCTAAAGACCTTTGAATAGGACCAGATTTAAAAATGTTCTAGACACATGATGTAATCCAACATTTTATGTAGTTAAAATTTTTATAATTTGTGCTAAATTGTGGGGTGTCTATCTAAATTTTTTTTTAATTAGTGCATTATTTATATAAGATCTAGAAGGATCCACACATAAATGTTAGTAGTTATCTTTTAGTGGTGGAATAGTGGGGTATTTTTACTTCCTTATTAATTTTCTTAATTTTAAACTAATGATTCATTGTTTTTATACTCAGGAGAAAATAAAACAAAAGATAATTACAGATTTGCTTTCCAATGCATCTTGACTCCTTTCTAGCAGAAAGCACTTTTCCGAACATTAGGCTCCATCCCCTCCTGGCTATGAGGGGATGGCAGCAGAGGGAAGGCTGAGGAGGGGGTATGCTCATGTGGGGTCCAGAAAGGCTCCCCCTGCCATCACCTTCCGCCTCCGTGGGTTGGACCTGGTGGTTCTGGAGGCTGCTGCATCTGGACGTCATCCTCACAGCTTGGTCTTATGTGTGTCCTTAGTTTCTGATGAGGAGCACATTGTTGGGATCTGGCTTCTTCATCAAAAGTAGCTGTAGGTCCTTTTTCTTTGTGGGCACAGGGCCAGTTTTCAGGCTACTCTAGAAGAATGGCCTTCTGTTCATCAAGTGCAGCCAACAGGCCCCAACAGTTGAGGGTGCTCAGCAAATGCTCACGAGATATCTTCTTTATGGTAAATGCTCTCTTTTGTACTGGGTCAAGATCTAAGAACAAAGCAAAGAGCTTTGATCTGGGTTCCGAGAGATGCACGTCTTAAAGAAATCGTGTGGGAGATGATGATGAGTGTAGTGGGGAAAAGCAGCCTGCGAGTGTCTGGTGGAAGGAGTCTGGGCTAATACAGAATGGATTTATAGAATATAGAATGGAGTTGAAGAGCCAGGTGAAGAAAATGTCTCAACAAACATGTGCAGATCAAGTGGATTAGGCCAGTGTGGTGGAGGGTTAGAAAAGCAGCCACAGAGCATAGCTGGGAGGCCCCTGGAGAACTTGGCAAGGGCTGTTGGGAGGACGATGGACAGAAAGGCTGATCCTAGCAGGCAGAGCTCCTGAGCATGTACAAAACTCCAGAGGTTTATGTGAAGGATGCTGCCAGGCCTCAGGGGTCAGGAAGATGTTTCTAAATTGAGAGAAATCACAGCAAGTTCATGTGCTAGAGGGGAATAATCTAGTAGAGAAAAGCTAGTTACAAGAGTGGGGATAAGATGGCCAGGAGAGAGGTGCCGGTGTCACTGGGGGAGACTCTGCAAGCACAAGGCATCTGTTCATGGTAAGAGGAGGGAAGGAAGATGGTGGGGATAGAGAGACCCCTGTAAGATGAGAGCTGTGACCGTGGGGACATGATAAAGGGACCCCATAAGACGAGAGCTGTGACCATGGGGACAGGACAGAGAGAACGCCTAAGATGAGAGCTGTGACCGTGGGGACAGGACAGAGAGACCCCCTAAGACGAGAGCTGTGACCGTGGGGACAGGACAGAGAGACCCCCTAAGACGAGAGCTGTGATCGTGAGGACACTCCCTCCTTAGTGATTCTCTTGTCCACTGAGAACGAGGACCAGGGAAAAAGCATTGCAGACCTACCAGTCGTAGACTACTCTTTGTTAAGGGTTTATAGTAAAAACCAGCCACACAAACAATCAGGAAGCCCAACAAAATTTCATGATTTATTTCATTATTCATTAAGGAAGAGATGAGATAGTTTGAAAACTTGGAGGGTGGGAAGAGCAGAGGAAAATATATACAGACCAGACCTTGAATTTTGATATTTCTGAGAGCATATCTCAAGGGTATCCTCACACATAACAAGAGTTGTTCTCAGCATAGTTGACACAGCTATATTTACAGGCAGATTCTGGCAACGTCCAGGTCTGTGAAAGCTGACTGCTGGTATTGGAAGTGCTGTGACGTTCTGCTGGACAGCAGTGGCGTCCCAGAGTCCACAGACTTAGACTTAAACAGTCTTCTGCAACATGAGAGGGGTGAAGATGGAGAGAGGTGACTTCAGAGTCCCCCTTTTCGGAGCAGAGTTGATGTGCTCTCCTTGGGTTATCACATGTCTGACATTTACATCTATAAGATGTCTAGCTTTCAGCTTATTTGGACCACATCGTTCATCAGTGGGCCTCTAAACGATGGCACAGTTTCAGTTTGCCTTTCAGACTAGCTGGAAACAGACTCACATAAATCATAAACCATTCTTAGCTTCATTTATCAAAGACTGGGTCCCTTGTCCATTCATCCAGCACACACATGTTCTTTTTCTTACACCTCCCCACCAGATCTCTACTCTCTAACTCAACTCCTTACCCCTGACTCTATTTAAATAATTGAAGTTTGACAGCATGTCACTTAACATGATGCTGGCAATGCTGTGCTCAGGTCTTTCCTGCTTTTATCCCTAGTTTCTCTCTCTATCTCTCTTTTATTTTTCTTTTAAATTCCTGTGAGCTATTTCCTTGTGCATAGCCTGATCCCCAAAAGAGATTTTATTCAAAGAGTCCAAAGAAAATGTCTTTTTCTCTCAATTTATGCATTTGAGGCAAGAGTGGAGGTAGGACTTAGTCTTTCTCTCTGAAAAGATGTCTGCACTTTATTACATTTGATTTAAAGACCATTTGAGTTGTAAACTTCAATCTTGATGATGTTGCAGTCTGCATTGGGAAGCAGGATTCACAGTGCAGGAGCATTTATAAGTTGCTGTACAGAGGTGAAGACTGTAGGGCATGCAGGTGGCCTTATAGGCCCCAGTTCTGCCGTCATCACTGGCTCTATCTCTCCCGTCACTGGCCCCATCACTACCTTGTGTGAGTGGCAGTGGGTAGCCAGGTGCTAAAGGACTTTCTCTTTCCTTTAAAATACTGTGAAAATTATCAGTGCTGGATTCATTAGCAAAATTATCCTAGTAGCAATGCAATGAGAAAGCCACATTTGACCTAAAATAAGTCAACCAAGCTAGATACTTCTCATTCCTTTTTATGCCAATTACTAGAGCTTTGTGTCATAAAAAATGTGGTCATTATTTATGTAACATCTGAAAATTATTTAATCATTCAGAATGCGAGATTCTTGTTTGAGCTTACGTGACTTGGTTGTAATCCTGTGTCTGTGTCTATATGTGCACACGTAGATGCTAAAGAATAAACAGGGCTGTCTTCTTTGTCCTCATTTCCCCTTCAAGCTCTGTCCCTGTTCTGCAGGCTACTTCAAAATTTGGTCTTCCTTACAGTTTCCCATAAAAACCCTATTGCACCGATTTCAGATTATCTTGGCCGTATATTGACATATGTGTGTATATATACATACAAACACACTTAGACCACATCACGTTACACTCATAACGGTGCCATTTTGTAACTTAACAGATGTACCCTGAACATTCTTATGCAT